TGATGGCGAGCGGGCTGCGGTGTGAGGAGATGATGGCGAGCGGGCTGCGGTGTGAGGAGTTGATGTCGCCCTGCAGCCAGCACGCTGTGGTGTGAGAAGGAGATGGCGAGTGTGTTGTGTTGTCACCCTGCTGGCAGGTGGAGGAGGTGCGGGAGGCCATGGAAGGCGAGATGAGGACACAGCTGCGCAGGCAGGCGGCGGCTCACACGGATCACCTGCGAGATGTGCTCAAGGTGCAGGAGCAGGAGCTCAAGGCCGAGGCACAGGAGGCAAGTAGAGCAACTTCAATAAACCCAACCCCAGCAGAGCAGGAATTGACTGTTTTTGATTGAAACTATGGGCTATCATGCTGCCAGAGATGCTCTGTTCTTCTAAGAATTGTAACCTAAAACCCTAAAGAACCCTGAACCAGAACAGTGGTAATCTAAACAAAGTCAAGAATTGATTAAATTACGAGTTAAAGAGCATTGAGTATCAGAAGACCCTGTGACTCTCTGGGATTGTGGATATCGCAATTTAAAAGGCCTGAATCAATAAATGGCCTACAGAAAGCCGAAACAAGCAAAGATCAGGACTTCTGTGTAGAGGAGTGAACCTTAATTTCTGCATCTGTTTTTCTCATTTCTTGTTGTGGAACACATAGATTATTGACTACAGCTGCAGAGTAAGAGAATTTGTTAAAATGTCAATGCGGTTCAGGTCTACTTTGTTGAAATATTGTAAACTGATAATATAAAGGAGATGACAATTGCATTGACATTATTTGTAGGGTTACTGATCAAATACGTGTTCCCGTAATCCCACTAAGATCAGTCCTGATGTGATTGTGCAGCGTTCTGTTATACTTCCATTAATTATCTAAGAATGCCAATAAGAGCTTTAATGCTTAAAGGAATTGGGTACCAATTGTCAGTGCAGGACATTGTTTCTCTGATTGCAAGCTCAATCGCAGCTAATCGTTTAAACTGTGGTTGGCTCAGACTGCCTCTTGGAATTTGTTCTCATGAGCTCAGTTTTATTTACACATTGTGTTAGATTTGAGTGAACCAAAGGAACCACCTTAACCATTATGATCCTCTCCATTGATAGTGGGAATTGGGTTTTTAAAAAGTAAGGCAGAGCTCACTTATGATGAATTATCTTTTTTTTTTCTGCGAAGGAACTGGCTCGTAAGATGTCTGAGCATGACACCCACTACCGGCGCATGACGCAGGAGCAGCTGGATAACTTCACTCTGGATATGAATGCAGCCTACGCCAGGCTGAAGGGCCTGGAACAGGCCATCGAGAGTGAGTGCCACTGGGCGAGCTGTGCTCTGGTGCAGTTTCCCCTCTTTTCATTATGTTCCAAAATCGGAAAAGATCCGCAAGAATCCCACCGACGTCGAGAATAACCGCATGCCCGCTGTTTCAGGCCACACTGTCGCCGAGGAGGAGGCCAGGAAGGCCCACCAGCTGTGGCTGTCGGTGGAGGCGCTGAGCTACGCCCTGAAGGCTGTGGAAGGGGACAGCCCAACGGAGCCCCTGGAGAGCGCAGTGCAGACCATCAGGGCCAGCTGCGGGGACAACGAGTTCACCCAGACCCTGACCACGGCCCTGCCCCAGGAGGCCCTGAGCCGGGGCGTGTACAGCGAGGCCTCCCTGCGTGCTCGCTTCAGCCACATCAGGAAGCTGGCCCGCCGCGTGGCCATGATCGACGAGACCAGGAACAGCCTGTACCAGTACTTTCTCTCCTACCTGCAGTCCCTGCTCCTTTTCGAACAGGAGCAGCTCAAACCCCCCGCCCAGCTCTCTGCCGAAGACCTGGATACTTTCAAACTGCTCTCCTACGCTTCCTTCTGCATTGAACACGGGGACCTGGAGCTGGCTGCCAAGTTTCTCAACCAGCTGAAGGGGGAGCCCCGGAGAGTGGCTCAGGACTGGCTGAAAGAGGCTCGGCTCACCTTGGAGACCAAGCAGATAGTCAGCCTCCTGTCTGCGTACGCCAATGCGGTGGGTCTTGGCACCACCCAGCTAGAATAATTTAATTACCCGACCGGAGAGCCCTCATGTTCATAAGTAGCAGATTCAGCCTGAATTTAAATGATGCATAAAGCACTGTACAGAGAACTGGTTGCTTGGATTATGTCCCTTAAAATATCATTCAGAAGGCACATTGTAAACTATCACTATTAACATACTGTCAAAACGGGGGGGAAAAACAGGCCCTTTGTGGTTGTGCTGTTGATAGATACAAAAACATGTCTGTTGCTTGTGTTTCCGTGTAAGTCTCCCTTCGACGCTCTTTGTTACAGATTGCAGGGAATCGCATGTTTAGGAGTTGCTTGCAACCGTGCTGTGCTGTCGGACAAAGCCTGCGGTTTTTGTGAACATGGGGGCTCGGGATTTGTCAGGAATTATCTCCCGCACATAGGGCACTCTTGTCAGTGACCTCACTGCCTGACTCTGTTCGCAGTGTCTGTTGTTGGCTCATGCTGTTCTAACAAATATTACAGGAATGCTTTGTTGAAATCGGTGTGCTCAGTTCCTGGTTTTCCCTGATCAGGCTTTGTGATTTAATTACTCATTTTGGCATTATGCTGTTGATTTATTTTCCCCAATTCTGGTGCATATCAATAAAACACAGGAAAACATGTTTTTCATTTGTAATGTGCTTTCTTTGACGACCAGGGTGAAGAATATAAAAAGTTCCTATTGTCGGCTCGGTTTTTTTAATCAAGGTTTAATGATCTCAAGCAATGTTAAAGCCAGTTCAAAAAACTAAAACCAATCACAATAAAAGTAGTGTGAAAATATCAGTAAACATTGGTCAAATTTAGTGCTGTGCAAATCTATTTTAACCTCATGTTTTATTTCTAGGTCCTCTGTTTTACAAATATTAAGAAACTTGAAAAATTTCAGACTGGTGCCCTTATCTGTATTTTATTCCTATGTGAATTAGCCATTTTATAGTAGAGCAGATTCGACACTATTTCTAGATTTTGTCTATAAGTTCTCTTTCTTTCTAAAATACCTTGGTCACATTCCATTTCCCGTTCTTTAGAAAGTGCTTCAGTTCTCACTGCACATAAGTTTTGCAATCTAGTTTTGATGGCATCATTGTTGTACATCTTCTTGGCATCTCTCTCACCATTCACTGATCATATTCAAAACTTTGCATTTAAAATTGACTGATCTCTCTGGGGCCTCGGGTGGTTCTAGCTAACTGATCAAAATTGGCCAAGCACTGTATTGAGAAGGGTGGGATTATTTGGCAAGGACTCTTGGCATCACTCACCCCTGCAGTTACTTTTGATGAAAATATATCCAGATCTGGCCAGCACGGTGGCACAGTGGTTAACATGCCTGCCTTGGGTTCGGGTCTGGGCTGCCCACATGACGACTGGGAGGAAGCCTATGTAAACGCAGGGAGAACTTAAACAGCCCAAAGACATACTGGTAAATTTGTTTCTGGGAAGTTTCCCAGGTGTGTCCGAGTGTGGCCTACGATGGATTGACGTTCCATTCAGAGTGTACTCTGCCTTGCGCCTATTTCTTGCTGGGATAGACTCTGGCTACCCCACAACGCTGATGTGGAAGACGTGGTCAGAAAATGGGTGGATGGAGTCCAGATCTGGGGTGTATATGGCTCCTTTACTTTCTATTAACTCGGAAGAGCCCTAGATCCCAGTATGATGCCAATTGGTGTTTACAAAAGCCTTTGGTATGGTTTAGACACCAAAGAAGGTTAAGAATAAATATGGGAAGGGACCTTAAGAGATGTGAAAACCACCATCTTTGGCAGAATATTGCGCAAGATCAAGATACTGTATATGACCAGGTCTTTTCTGATTTTGTTCCGAAATCCGTTTTAATTCTAACTGCAAAATCTAATTCTAATAGAAATTCAGTAGGAAGGTGAGATCCACACTTCTATGATAAATAGCAAGTCTCCCACCCAGGACTTCCTGTTGCGCACCTCTCTCATCTCGCTTCTTCAGACTGACATGTCTTGTATTTAGTGTCGCCGGTACCTTACCTTCATCTTGTTCATCCATGACCGGAGTTGCTCTCACCTCTTCAGCATCAACACTCCTCTCAAAACAAGCATCTGGGCACCCACCATACCGGCTGCATTTTTCTGCCTGCTCTCCTAATGTCAGAAAGTCTACCAGTACATCTGAGCTTCTGCAGCATTTTTCTTCCCCTTCCTACTCTCAACTGTCATATTCTCCTCCATTTCTGGTTGAACATCCAACTCACTGCACCCACATCCATGCTCTATATAGAGGAAATTGTTTAGTCTCTCCCCTCTTTTTTTGCTGTCCACTGCAGGATACTCTGGTCTCCGGCTCCCACTGCACCATGGGGGATACGTGGGCTTCCGCATTCATCCTCACAGTCCCTAGCACTCAGGCCTAGGCAACTTACAGTAATGGATTCCTCATCTTTTTACCTCCTGCCCCCCATTTTCAGCTGTCATCCAACTGCTCGGTGGTGGATGCTTCTAGTTCCATCCATAGCCGATATTCATCTTTTCAAGAATTCACTTCAAAACTTGGGTAAATTCAAAAAGCCTTCTTTTTTTTGTGCTCTTTCGCACCAGGCTATTCTGCTAGGTCTTCAGCTGTGCCCTTCACAGATCTAATCCAAGCTACAGTCCTGCTACTGCTACTAACCGCGAGTGCTATCACCTGTTCAATGATTTGTACCCAGACACTGAATTTATCAGGGGTAGTATGGCCTGGGTAACCTTACTTCAAGGTTGGGAAGCAGCCATTCCCTAACCCAGACTATCTTGTCTCACTCACATTTATTAGGATCTAATGAACTGATTATTTCATTTTGAACACAAGGATTTGCAATATGTCCTCACAGGCAAAACACCCATCCATATTACTGCTGACTTATTACCAGAGCTTGCTGTTGGTTCAAGCTGTTCTGTCAAATATTACAGGAATACTTTGTTCCAATTCACTTTTTATATTAATCAGGCTAAGATTAGTAAGCATCAAAGTAAAACTGAAGAGGAAGAGTTTTTTTTTTTAAACAGTGTTAAGAGACATTAGCTTCATATTTGTTCTTCAGAACTACAGCATATAGCACTGCAGTAGATTGTTTTGGAGCTCAATTCATCTCACTTAACACTAACTCTTAAATACCCACAACTACCTTTTGACATGTCATGACAAACTATGTGGGTAAGTAAAAATCAGAATTTTCTTCAGATCCTTCTCTGAAGAAGCTAACTGGGCAAAAAACCCAGGGAGCAGTATAACAAAGTGCTTGGTATTTGGTTTCTTGATGGTACCGTATCAGGTTTTAAACAAAATACTGTAAATTGGCAATCACACGCAGTGTTTACCAATAACTTGTATTTCAGTAATCAATATGGCAGCTTAACTTACAGTGTAAGTTTTGTCTTATTTCAGTAAGATGGTCTTCAGCCCTTGGGGAAAAAAAAATACAAAGGACAAGACACTCACCTTTATTATATTACATCATCATGATCCAGGACAAATCAAAACACTTGGGTGTGATCCAAGCTTTATTAGAACAAAGATCTTGATGTACTTTAGTAGAGAGAGCCTGTACAGTATAGCAGTTGTTGGTAAGTTTGCTGTAGAAAGTCATCACAAGGTTTTTAGTCATGTGATACAAGTGCAGTTCTTACTGACTGACTTAAAGGGGATCCTTTCAGCTCGAATAGACTGTTCATTCTTCATCACTATCACTGCTGTCACTCGTCAAGGCCTCCAGTTCACCCAAGGAACTCCTAATATGAAAAAGTCCAAATTAATATTTAAACAAAGATCTGTCACTCAAAGAGCCTAACTATGCTAGAAAAAAAAATCAAATTCCTGACATTTCACGTCATATAGTAGACAAAATTGTGGTTTGACTGAACTGACTAACACAGCTCCTTTTAGTATGGACCTTAACCCTCTTCTGCTTCAGTATTTTTAATAACATTTCTACTCTTGTATAAGCGACCCAACTCGTCAATGAATGGTTTTGCTTTAGCTCTAGAATAGCGTCAAGAGATTAGGTCTTACTTCTGTTGGTCAGTCAGCTCGAACTCTTCCTTCACTCTGCTGGCGAGACCTGCAGTGATGGGCAAGCTGAATCCAGCCGACAGCCTGACCAGCTCCACAGCTTGGTTGCTGTTGTTGTTTGCTTTTGCAAAATTCACAAACTCGGCAAACAGCGCCACGCTGGAAAGATGAAGGAATACTCTGATCAGCTTCCCGGGGAACATTAAAACACATCAAGGTGCAGGATAAAAGTCTATATTCCACAAGGTATACAGAGTAGCAGTGATAAGTCACAAGTGCGGATCATACTTAAAAACAAAAACACTTACTCTGGCACTCTGTTGCTTGACTTGAACAACTGGAGCATTCCCCTTTTTGAGAAACAAAAGGAAAAGAAAAATACTG